TTCATACATAGGTTGGTTCTGCAATGTCCTTTAAAGGACACATGTCAAAATTGTAACAGACTGTAAAAGCATGCTGAGAAAGGTGAAGACAGGGATGCATCAAGCAGAGTGGCAAGCTTCACTGGGAAGGTCACGACTAGTGAGCATACTTTGGATCTTATCTCCAGGCTATGCTGGTGGGGAATGAATAGGCAGACAGACTGGCTGGATCTGTACCAATGGGTGGTGAGCTGATACAGGACAAGGCAGATATTGTCAGGACCCTTTAGGAAAAAGCAACGAGTCAGAAGCAAAACAAGACTATTAGGGCCTGGAAAGAATAAGGCACCTTGGTGTAACTAGAGGGTCGGGTCAGCTCACTATACTCAGAGGAAAGGCATGATGGACATATAAGCAGATTACGACTGGTTTCATTAGTATTGGAACTGCGCTAGCTTTTGAAGACGAGGACAGAGCACACATAGGAATGCCCCGAGTGCCGTGATATCAATTCTTGACTCAACTGTCCTTTAAAGGACACGCAATAACTAAATAAAATGCAATTATAGACCCCATTTGGGGGAGAGAGTGTGGGGGGTAAACTGAACGGACCCGCAGCCCCCTAACAAGCATGCTGTTAAAGGCGACTAATTCAGGGTTTGCTGAAATCGGACATGTCGAGCCACAAGTGCAAATTTCGCAACCTATCGGTAAACCACAGTACAACATACCAGATGCCCATTTATGGGCGACCACTGTCATAGAAGAAGCTAAAAAATCACGAGATGACTCACAAAGTTGAAATGTTAAAAAGCAGAAATTAAAAAACAAAATGACATAAAATATTCACCGCTCCAGAACAGTTAACTGACATTGGCTATATACTTTCATATATTCTGGCTCAGTCTGCCATTCAACAGCAGAAGGTATAATGTAGAAAAAGTCACAACTCAAGAATGTGAATTTTCTGCCTCCAATAAAAACTATTGGACAGAGTCAGGTATTCATATTCCAGCCACTGGTGCCTTAACATTCACAACTACAATTTAATTGGCCAGTGCTTTTTTATTTCAGTCTTTTAGCCTGTTTACCTAGAGGTCATCATCATATGTCACACGTTTGAAACCTGTTTAAGCAAGTAAAATGCCGACCTGATGATAAATTACAGGGACCTAAAAAAATGGTTCTTCTCATCAGAACTTCCTCTTACCCTCTTACAACCATTTTGAAAAAAAAAAAAAAAACTACATGCCTTCCATATAGATGATAAGAAATATGCTAATCAGCAGGTATCCTCCGAATGTGGACAGCATCTGCCTGAGAGATGATAAACCAACAGTCTGCATACAAAAAAGCCAGATCTGTATAGTAGAAGTCCACGCAAACTCAAGAACAAGACCACAATCCAGAAGTGGACGAACAACCAGAACTTTCCACCGGAGTTCACAGCCGGTGAATGCAAAGAAGAAGAATCAGCAGGTTAGCTGATACATCTGCAGTATCTATGTGTTATTGGTTCAGATATGTAGGACTATATTATTCCTTCTGTGTGTGTGTGTGTGAGTGTCTAAGAATGAAAGAGGAGAGACATACGAGTAAGAGAGACTAAAAGACAGGAAAGAAAGATTAAAAGAGAGAGAGAGAAAGAGAGAAGGAAAGTTGAAATAAAGACAGTGAGAGTGAGAAACAAAATGATAGCAAACATACTGGCATTTTTTTGGGGGGTCATTTCTCCCATATGTATCTCTCCCTGCTAGTGTCCGTACCCCTAAGTTTTTGACTGACCTTAATCTGACCTCTGCTTATCAGGTCTGTGGGCATTTCTGCCTCTACAACCACAATACACCACACATTTTCTAATGAATGTGAGGTCATTAATGCCATGTAAGATGCACACTGCAACAAAGATAACTACGAAAAAGCAGAAATTATCCTTGTTCAGGCTGGTGGAAACTCTAGTGCAGTAGTTCTCAAACTGTGGGTCGTGACCCTTTTTGTGGGTTCAGCCGAACCTTTAACAGGTGTTGCCAATGACCACCGGAATAAACAAATTCACTGAAGTTATAAAGTAGCAACGAAAATAACTGTATGGTTGGGAATCGCCACAACAGGAGGAACATTATAATCGGTCGCCACAGTAGGAAGGTTTAGAACCACTGCTCTAGTGCTGGAATCAAGGCCGAAGGGTTGCGATCTCCATAGTACCGAGCCAAAGGGTTTACAACTCATGGTTTCTGGATACGTTTAAAAAAAAAAAATGGAGCAGCCAGACTTGGAACATTTGATTAAAGGTACCAGACATGTCATGCATCGAGACAGAATGGGCGTGATCAGTCGTTTTACACTTGTGGAGCTACTGAGGAGATCGGAGCATTTAGGATCTGCCTAAAGTGCTGTGATGATAGTCTTCACTAAATCACTTCTAGGAATAGACAAAGTATCCTTTAGCATTTACTGCCATTGCAGAACAAAGTTTTAGGCTTCCATAAAACAAAAGGTATCTTTTTCTTCTTTGTGTTTACCGGCTGAAGACTCTGGCAGAAAGTTCTGGTTGTTCTTCCACTTCTGGACTCTAGTCCGGTTCCAGAAACAGTGTGTTGAGTGCAGATCCGTTTCACAGGTCTGACTTGTTGGTTCCTTGCCTCTCGGGCAGATGTACTCCGACTTCGAAGGAAGATCCCAATTAGTCCACTCTTACAACATGCTTTTTGGGCAGGCAGGTGGTCTATTCTTGTTTTCCCCCAAATGAGGCTCCCGAAACCCACACAGGGAATACAGGGTTTGACATGCAGGGTGCAGAGGCTAGTTCTGTTTCTTCACTGCCTCTTTTCCCCCAAATAATTCTAAAAACTATCTACTGCCAATTTTAAGAGGCTGGGTCAACCCTAGAGCCATACAGAACAATAAATGTGCCTCTGCTGGGAACTGAACTTGGACTCCTATTTTGGCTAGCAAGCTTATTAGCCATTTTGCCACCCAGTATTTACCACTTCTAGGGCAGTGTAAGCCAGTGGGGTCTTTAGTCTAATAAATTAGAGCTGCACGGCTAGTTCAGTCATAACTGCGTGTGCAAGTCAGGATTGTATTTCCTCCCCACCCCAATAAAATAAACAAACCCCTGATCTTTCTAGGTTGACATTACCCATCAAGTATTCATCTAAAAAATATAGGTCTAGCCCTATATGCCTGAAGGAGTGGAAATGGGTTCTTTACTTTTACTTTTCAAAGTAATGTTTTCCCATTGTAAATCAGAACAAAAAGACGCAAACAAAAGATGGCACATTTTATTGCCTGGCAAATTTTGCTGTATCTCGTCAGGTGCATACTACAGTAACATGATTCTGACACTGCGGCTGCCCTGGTAAAACAGGCAGTTGCATCTGATTGATGTTGAATTTGTACTTCAATTATAAAGGGTTCACTTATTTGCTTCACTAGTATGCACTTGATGAGATACAGTGAAATATGCCAGATGATAAATTGTGCAGTCTGCTGTTTGTGTCTTCTTTGTTCAAACACTTTACTTTTGATTACATCTATCTTGATCTTGGCCCAGTGATGGAAGATTTTCAACTGCACCTCCTACTGGTTGAGAACTTTTACTGCACAAGACTCTGGTAAATGGTTTAAGACACCCAGTTTAAAAAAAAATATTTACTGGCGACTCTTTTTGACCAATAGCATATTGGGTATATGTTGGCAGACACATAATTTTTACTGAATAATGGGCAATCGATGGTAGACGTGATCAACAACATGTTGTCCACTTGCACTTTCCAAATACTTTCCGATTTCATTTTAGATTAGGTTGACCTTGGAGCCCAGGTCAACTTAAAAATCTACAATGGTGCAGATTCAAACCCAAGAACTTCGGTCGAACAGGCAAGCAGCCAGAACTATAATACTGTGGCTCACAGGCATCCACCCAACCAGAGATCTTGTCTGTCCTGACAACTGGGAAATTCCTCATCAGAGACAGAGGTCACAAACCTTCCACATGAACATGGAAGCAAAGGCAGAACTACCACAATTATGTTCCCAACAAGTAGGTTTATGAGCATGTCACCAATTTATCTGGAACAGATAAGTGACAAAGACTAAGACTATATAAACTGGCATGACATTCATTATAACAACAACAAAAAATCATCTGGCAGTAACAGAATAAAAATAACTGAAAAATATCATAAAAAGCCCAACATTATTATTTGTTTTAAACTGCCCCACCATTTGACTGCCAAAAATGAAATGTTTGCCTCATGTAAACTGCCCAAAACAGTAACTTTTTTCCAATTGGCAAAGACATTCCCTTCCCTTTAATTGGCAAAGACATTCCCTTCCCTTTAATTGGCAAAGACATTCCCTTCCCTTTAATTGGCAAAGACATTCCCTTCCCTTTAATTGGCAAAGACATTCCTTTCCCTTTAATTGGCAAAGACATTCCCTTCCCTTTAATTGGCAAAGACATTCCTTTCCCTTTAATTGGCAAAGACATTCCCTTCCCTTTAATTGGCAAAGACATTCCCTTCCCTTTAATTGGCAAAGACATTCCCTTCCCCTCAACTGGCAAAAGATTGTCCCTTCCCTAAAACTGGCAAAAGAATTTCCTTCCATTCAACTGCCGAAAACAATCAATTTCTCATTGACTGCCAAAAACAATCAATTTCTCAGTGACTGCTAAAAACAACCAATTTCTCATTGACTGCCAAAAACAATCAATTTCTCATTGACTGCCAAAAAACAATCAATTTCTCACTGACTGCCAAAAACAATCAATTTCTCACTGACTGCCAAAAACAATCAATTTCTCACTGACTGCCAAAAATGATTAATATCCCTTCAACTGAAAAAACAAAATGCACACACAAGCAAAATCCTTTTAACTGCCAAAAACAATTTTGTTTTTTTGTTTTTGTTTTTGGTAGTGATCAGTAAACCAAAAATCCTCAATAAGCAGTTAGGATTCAGTCTACTCGCTGCGATGATAAAACTTTACAATTACAACTCTGCTGCTTCAGCCATCACTCTGATGCTTGGTTCTCATCTTCAGGTCTTAGTCTCTTTCCATTTGATTTGTCTACTTCCTGGGGTGCGGCTTCTAATGCTCTCTTCATGTGTCCACTTAGTGGCTGTGACATCTGGAAGACAAGAACATACAACATTATTAAATTTGTAATGTTCTCTGCGAGTGTCCACTCAGTGGCTGTCATATCTGGAAGATAAGAGCATACAACATTATATTATAATGATCTCTGCATGTGTCTACCTAGTGGCTGTGTCATCTGGAAGATAACAACATACAACATTATATTATAATGCTCTCTTTATGTGTCTACCTAGAGGCTGTGACATCTGGAAAAAAAGAACATACATTATATTATAATGCTCTCTTTATGTGTCTACCTAGAGGCTGTGACATCTGGAAAAAAAGAACATACATGATATTATAATGCTCTCTGCATGTGTCTACCTAGTGAACTACCTAGTGATTGTAACATCTGGAAAATAAGAACATACAACATTATATTATAATGCTCTCTGCATGTTTCTATCTAGTGGCTGTGACATCTGGGTGATAAGAACATACAACAATATCATATTATAATGCTCTCTACATGTGTCTACTTAGTGGCTGTGACACGTGGAAGATATGTAAAAAAAACAACATTACTGCTAAATTCTAATGCTCTCTTTAAATGTCTATGCAGATGTCAGATGAAATCAACTAGCTGATACAATAGCGGACAAGGCTGCCATGGAAGGTGGATAAGCAATAGACCAGGCTGACATAATGAATACTCTAGAACAGAGTTGCCCATTTGGAGGTCGGCAAAACAAGTTTAAGGGATCCGTGATATCATTTTTTATAAAACCTTAGCCTTAGAATGCAATCTTCCCCCTGTGGGTTCTGGAACCCCATTGTGGTGAAAAAAAAAAATAGACCCACTGCCTCCCCATCAAGTATGTTGTAGGAGTCGACTCACTGGGAGCTTCCTCCAAAGTCACGAGTGCATCTGCCCGAGCAGCAAGAACAATCAACTGCTGACAGATAAGCCAGTAAAATGGATGTAAACGTAAAACTCAGGCTCTAGCACAAAGCCCAAGTCCAAATGGACAAACAACCAGGACATTATGCTGGAACTTACACCGGTGAATGAAAAAGAAAAATGCAATCTTAAAAATGCAATTCTAAAATGTTTAAATTATGATAAGACATCAGTATGACTATAAAAACAGTATAGGGTCGACAGCAGGCCTTGAAAATATGAGAGGTCCACAGTTATCTGTTAACTGTGAAACATTGCCTTGAAAGAAGAAAGATGCTTGTATAAACCAAGTGATGAATCTTCTACTTCACATTCACCAGCTGTCAACCCCAGTGGAATGTTATGGTTGTCTGTCAACCCCAGTGGAATGTTATGGTTGTCTGTCAACCCCAGTGGAATGTTATGGTTGTCTGTCAACCCCAGTGGAATGTTATGGTTGTCTGTCAACCCCAGTGGAATGTTATGGTTGTCTGTCAACCCCAGTGGAATGTTATGGTTGTCTGTCAACCCCAGTGGAATGTTATGGTTGTTTATCCACTTCTGGTGGTCTTGATCCAAAAGTGAGCTTTGCGTGCACGTCCATTTTACAGAAATTGCTTATTTTACAGACTGCTGGTTTGTTACATCTCAGGCAGATGCCCGGTGACTTTCGAAGGAAGCGCCCCATAATTACTCTTATTGCATGTTTGCTGGAGGGGCAGTGGGTCTATTCTTTTTTAACCCAGAAACCCACATGGTGAGCGATGTAACTGAAACAGCAACTTCTACCAGCCTGTAAAATAAGTTAAAAGTGGTGACGCCAGACAACAGCACTAAAACAGCGGGAAACCAAAGCAGAAGAATACATCAACACAGACTTGGTGTCTCACACTCTGAGGGACCTACTGAGGAGGGTATCTGACAAAGGAAATTTTAATCATATTACATGTATAAGACGACGCCCTCATGCACATCTCTATTGTTTAGCCCAAAAGAAATAAGCATTATAACCACATTCCATGTATAAGATGCCCTCATGTACATCCCTATTTTAATGCCCCCCCCCCCCATGAAATTTTTAAACACATTCTATGTATAAGACACCCAAGAGCAACTCCCCCCCCCCCTTTCCAACTACACTGTCCTAAAAAAAATGGTAACGCCAGTTCTTACCAAAACATGGAATGTGGCCTCCTGAGAGCCCCAACCATCCTTGTCAGACTGAGCCTGCTGCAAGTGCTGATCTGAGCCTAGTGGATTCTGTAGGATCACTTGCTGCTGAAACATCTGCTGCTGGAAAAGCTGTACCGGCTGACTTGAGTGTGAGACCAGAGCCTGCTGGATAGCACTGGTGTGAGCTGAGTGACCGCCAGAACCGGCTGAAGACTGATGGACTAACTGGACAGACTGAGGAATAAGGGTCATTTGGCTAGGTTCTCCAATGGACGACGATGTCATCATGACTTGCTGGCCCCCGTGCAGGCTCTGGACAAGGACAGGGTTGAGAGTGCGAGCCTGGAACTGAGCCTGGTTGGCTGTTGCTACGAGTGAAGCAATTTTCTGTGATGCCCCGGTCAAGCCGATGCTGACAGCTGAAAATGATATAGATTTGTGGCTCTGATATGAACAAATGGATGCATCGAAATATGAACCTAATGCTTAGATATGAATAAATGGATGCATGGAAATATGAACCTAATGCTTAGATATGAACAAATGAATGCACTGAAATATGAACCTAATGCTTAGATATGAACAAATGGATGCACTGAAATATGAACCTAATGTTTATACATGAACAAATGGATGCACTGAAATATGAACCTAATGCTTAGATATGAACAAATGGAGGCACTGAAATATGAACCTAATGTTTAGATATGAACAAATGGAGGCACTGAAATATGAACCTAATGCTTAGATATGAAGAAATGGATACACATAAATATGAATCTAATGTTTAGACATGAGCACATGGATAGACAGAAACATGAATCTGTAGCTTAGATATGAGGACATGGATGGACAGAAACATGAATCTGTAGCTTAGACATGAGGACATGGATGGACAGAAACATTAATCTGTAGCTTAAAGGTGAGCAAATGGATAGACAGAAACATGAATCTGCAGCTCAGATGTGAACACCAGTTTAAGCAGAAATACGGCAATCATTTTTGTTATCCTTCAACTTGTGAAATGATTCAGCAATCAACCACCACAGTGTGATCTCTACACTGAAGGCTGGCACTAATGATTTCCAACACTGTGTCGCTTGTATGTGGCTGTCTGTAAACCTGTCTTTCTAACTGTATTGTTTTCTCTTGCTCACCCCAAAAGAAAAGAATCCACACCACTGACTCTTTCGGCATATGGTGCTAGACCCATATTTTGGCCTCATTCCATGGTACCCTGTTCAGGCTGGGTCAACCAGGGAGCCAGGGTCAATTTTGAAGAAAAAATAAATCTGTCTCAATGTGGACTGGAACCCAAGACTTTCAGGCTTCCCAGGCAAGAATCTAGCCACAATGCTACAACAGCTCCCACCTCATATGTTCTGTCTTTATCAATCCTTATGCTCTTTTGTCAGATTCCTGTGTAAGATCTGATGTCACATTCTGAAGACAAATAAGAACAGACCCAAACCGCTCCCCCCTTTTCCCCCAACAAGCAAGTCATAAAATGCGACTAATTGACAGGGATACTGAAAAAAAAGTTCTTGGTGTAAAATGGTGTTAAGCATTAATTGCTAAGGAGTAAAGGGAACATGTGAGGGACTAAAGAGCTAAGAGTTTAAACTGTCTCACAGAGGATCCACAACCAACCAAAATATGTTCATTACAAAAAATTGTTACGAATAAAGCATTTTCAAGAGCATGTCACCTTCTCCATTATCTCGTTTGATTTCCAAATGTGAGCCATTTGCTGAGGGGCCATTGATCAGCTGCTGTCCGGGAGCAGCCATGAAAATCTTGGGCTTGCTTATGACTGGCGGGAGCTGGTGGATGGCAGCAGAGTTGCCACTGCATGACACTGTCACTGGCGACATGACACGAGAACCTGCAAAATCAAGCCATGCTGCAGACAAGGTATAGGAGTCATGACTATATATTAATCCAGTTCCTGAACCTCTACAAGTTTATCCCATGGCAGTTACTGCAGTTTTAGATATTTACTTGCTTTAGAAATCACTACTATGAGATGAGTGACCAGCACCTTTTCCCACAGCCTTTCCTGCCCAATAATGCTAACAAATTTATCAATCTGAAAATAACCCGCCTCAGTGTTAAGCTGAGTCGAGAATTTCAAGAATTGACATCACAGCACTCGGGGCTTTCCCATGCATGCTCTGACATCATCTTCAGCAGCCAACGCAGAGTTCCAATACTGATGGTACCAGTCCCAATCTGGTTATATGTCTGTCTTGCCTTTCTTCTGAGTGTAGTGAGCCGGCCAGACCGGTTACACCCAGATGCCTCATTCTCTCCAGGCCATAATAAACCCTCCCCCGTAGTGGTTACATCAACTCTATATAGGCAACCATCAGTTCCTAGGGACCAAGGAGCTGTGCTGCTGGATCTGGGAACAGCATCTGATATTACTGTTAGGTGCTGTGAATTAGAGGCAGTCTCTGCCACATTGTCTACCTAAAAACACTGATAGTCTATTAACATATCCATATGACACTGTTGAATGAAACAAAACAAAAAAATTTTCTACCTGAGATTACAGCTGATGAATGCTTTTAAAAAAAAAAAAAGAGTTGTCACGTGAAAATCTAACTTTCCTCCACCCCCAATGTTTAGGATTGTTTTTTGTTTGTTTTTGGTAAGTGATTATCATAGGCTCTTTACATCTGTTGGCGGACCACAAAATGGGAACATGTGATCTAGAATATGTGAAGCGTTAACATTCAACACCCAACTGCAGTTTGCTATAGGATGACCTTGTATAGTGAAATTAATTACCTTGATATTAACTCATAATACATGATGAATTCAGGAGGACCAAAGAATTAAGAGAAATGTGTGGACAACCACTGGTGTCAACATATTTAAAACAGAGAAGATGGCGCTATATTGAACACCTTCTGAAAAGGAGACAAATAGAGAATCACCAGACACTGAAATGGAAAATAGAGGGATTGAGGAAACAGGGGCGTCCAAGAGAAACCCCAAGGTGAATGTTGAGGAGAGGAAGCCAAAGATGCTGGACTGGATTCCCTACATGATACCAAAGAAATTGCACAGGATAGAATAGAACAGAGAAACAGACTGCATGCCCTGTGACAAATAAAGGCGCAACAAGAACAAATAATGAATTTAACTCCTGATTCATATATTTTAAAAACATCGATTAGCTGCTTCTTCAAACTCATATCTAAGACAATCATTCAATTATCTCAGACGTAAGTGTTAGTCTTAAAGAGTTTTTTTTTAAAAACCTTGCCTTGCCATCAGATTTACTGCTTTCAGCATGATAAAGTTACTGTCAACCTAAAACTTTATAACATGACAGCATACCAAGCCACACAGTGCGTCCAGGCTCAGCTAACGATCAGGAGTTCAGTTGCGACACAGCGCGCCCTGGCTCAGCTAACGATCCTGGGTTCATCTGCTACACCTAGCAACACAGCGTGCCCTGGCTCAGCTAAAGATCATGGGTTCATCTGCTACACCTAATAACACAGCGTGCCCTGGCTCAGCTAACGATCCTGGGTTCATCTGCTACACCTAATAACACAGCGTGCCCTGGCTCAGCTAATGATCCTGGGTTCATCTGCTACACCTAGCAACACAGCGTGCCCTGGCTCAGCTAAAGATCCTGGGTTCATCTGCTACACCTAGCAACACAGCGCATCCTGGCTCAGCTAACGATCCTGGGTTCATCTACTACACCTAGCAACACAGCGTGCCCTGGCTCAGCTAATGATCCTGGGTTCATCTGCGACACCTAGCAACACAGCGTGCCCTGGCTCAGCTAATGATCCTGGGTTCATCTGCTACACCTAGCAACACAGCGTGCCCTGGCTCAGCTAATGATCCTGGGTTCATCTGCTACACCTAGCAACACAGCAGGCCCTAGCTCAGCTAACGATCCGGGGTTCAATTGCGACTCCTAGCAACACAAAGCAGATATTAGGAAAAGAAGAAGGAAGAAAATGCAGCAGCTAACATTCCCAAAGGCAGCTCAACTGTTATGTAACCAACCTGATGGAGAACCCGGAGCGGACTGCGAGAAGCGAAGATCTGTGATTGTGGGGTGTGCGTGATGATGCACCTGCCCCCGGTGACCAGCGCCACCTTGAGCCGACATCTGAAATATCTCTGTCTCTGTGCCTGCTTCTGGTACTGGGCTCCCCTCTCTGGACAAGCAGTCAGGTGTGAAGGATCCTGCCATATGGCTGGGACTAGCAGGTGCAGACCTGGGACACAAACAATACACTTTACTTTTGGTTTACGTGATTTTCACTTCTTTTAGGAGGTCACGGCGGTGAAGTGGTCAAGCTGTTTGCTTCGGGCTCTCAAAATTGTGAGTTCGACTCATGGCTGCATCATTCAGTTTATGAGTGTAACCGTTACAAAGACACCCCCACCATAATGCCATCATCCTATAGTCATTGCTGTAAACCAAATAATCCCTCCTACAGTCATTAATGTAAAAAAAATACTTAATCCTAGTCATTATTGTAAACCAGATACTTCATCCTATAGTCACTATTGTAGACCAAATAATTCATCCTAGTCATTATGGTAAACCAAATTCTTCCTCCTATAGCATTATTGTAAACCAGATACCTAATCTTACAGTCTTTATTGTAAACCCAATAATTCATCCTAGTTATTATGGTAAACCAAATACCTCATATTCAGTCATTCAGGGTAAACCAAATACTTCATCCTACAGCCATTATTGTAAACCAAATACGCCATGTTATAGTCATTACTGTAAACCAAATATTTCAGCCTATAGTCATTACTGTAAACCAAATACTTCATCCTTTAGTCTCCGTGGTAAAGTGACTAAGCCATCTGCCTCACCCACTGATGTGTGAGGGTTTGATTTTGGACTTTTGGCTTAGGACACAGGTGTTTTTGAGATTCCTAGAGGTCATTGCCGGAGATACACGTTGGACTTTTGGTTTGGGGGTTCAGGTGTTTTTGAGATTCCTAGAGGTCACTGCTGGAGCTACATGTTGGACTTTTGGTTTGGGGAAACAGGTGTTTTCTTGAGATTCCTGGAGGTCATTGCCAGAGCTACATGTTGGACTTTTGGTTTGGGGAAACAGGTGTTTTTTGAGATTCCTGGAGGTCACTGCTGGAGCTACATGTTGGGACTTTTGGTTTGGGGAAACAGGTGTTTTCTTGAGATTCCTGGAGATCATTGCCAGAGCTACATGTTGGACTTTTGGTTTGGGGAAACAGGTGTTTTTTGAGATTCCTGGAGGTCATTGCTGGAGCTACATGTTGGGACTTTTGGTTTGGGGGAAACAGGTGTTTTTGAGATTCCTGGGGGTCACTGCTGGAGCCTTGCTCTGAGGTCAAACCTATATTCCTCATCAGAAAAGTGACTCATTCACAGAATAGGTATTCTGAGCCCAGTTCTCCTTCCCAGTGTGTGTTTAGTTAATTCATGTTCTTTATATCAGCTCGAATGTAGGCATTCCTATTTTCAATACTAATTTGGACTGAAATAATAAAATATGTTTGCCGAGGATAACTAAAGTATAATTTAAATGGTGAAAGTAAACCAAATGCCTAATGTGAAGCACCATGACAGTGTAATTGAAGAATCACAGTATACATATCCTTCTTCTCTTCTTCTTTGTTCCCTAGCTGTAAGCTCCGGCGGAAAGTCCTGGCTGTTTACCCATGTGGACTTGATGCCAGGGCCTGTGTTTTGCGGGTACATCCGTTTTATTTGTGTGCAGCTGGTTGTTCCTTGTGGCTCAGGCAGATGCACTCTGTCTTTGAAAGAAGCCCCCAATTAACTGACGGCATGATTGTTGGAGAGGCAGTAGGTCTGTTCTTGTTTTCTCCCACAATGGGGAATCAGATCCACAAGGGAATATAGCTGAAATGAAATATACGCTGCTTCTAGAATAAAGAGAACAAACAATAAATGAACATTTAAATAAGAAATAAGTGATACCTTGATGACAAATTCCCAAAAGGAGGCCGGAAACAAGTTACGCCCCGTTGACGTCTGCGCCTAAATGCTTGTGCTGTTAGCTTGGTTTCTGACACAGGATCGATGCGCCAGAAAGACCCCTTTCCTGGCTCTTCTTGAGACCGCGGAACTTTGACAAAGTATCGGTTTAATGACAAGTTATGTCTGATCGAGTTCTGTGGAAATAAAGCAACGATGCAGTTATGACTGGATACTTTGCTTTATCGGAAAGAAGATTAAAAAAGACAAATGTTCACTGTTGTCATGACGTGGAAATTTCATTCATAGCTTCTCGGACTCTTCTGGGTCACAAGGGTGTCCGAGTGTATATTTGGCGGCGGCGGTAGGTTCACGGTGGTCGTGAGGTTGACCTTTCATTTATATCTTCTTGGACTCTCGGCGTGTGACACGCGGTGACATCGCCACTTTCCCCGGAAATCCTCGAGACTAAGTACACACCCTGCACCCTAGAGCAGTCCAAGATTTATTAATGAAACAACGCGCCAGTGCGTAACCTAATTTCTGCCTCATACAAGCGTGAACAGATCCCAAATGTTAACAAACTGTGCCCTGGGACTATGACATATTAGCAGCCTTCAACTGAAACTTGCTCGTGCTGCACCATGCGTAACTGTTTGCATTAAACTTGACCATGTCCCAGTACTGACCAAAGATAAGTGCTAACCAATCAATAAAACAGCATGTGCTTTATCGTCCGATGATAAATGGTTTCTGTTTCAGACCGCTGAGAAAAAGGCTGGGTTGATTCAAAAGAGTGACAATTCTCTTTCATTTCAAGGATGTCACCTAGGGGACATTCATAGAAGAATGCAAGCAGCATACAGCAAAATATGCGTGTCAAAGACAACAGTGACAGATTGAGCTGTAATGCTTTGGAAAGGACAGTTCACAACAGATCTTCCATGGTCAGTCAAGCACATATTGTCGCAACAGAAAGAAAAAAAAACACTGCCAAAACTGAGGCAGCAATACAGACGAACTGGGGTCAAAGCAAATCTTCACTAGCAAAAGAATTCAAAGTGTCAACTGGGACAGTCCAAAAATAGTTCATAAGAAACTGTGTTCACGGTTGGTACCATATAATAAACGCTCAGCTGTAAACATTAAGTTCAGGGAGCAACCACAATCCTTTTTTGTGGACCACATTCGCTGCCTACCTAAGCAATGTGACACTTGTCTTAATGCCTTTAGAAACTTTTCTGGGCCAAACTATCGTGCCTATTCATTCAAAATAAAGCTGTTTAATTATGTCACACATACTGACGTTTCTTTCAAGTTTCTGTAATGAATCCATCGAAACAAAATTCAAAAGAAAACTCCTTATACAATTCAACAGTGTACTACCTAAACAATGGGATGTTAATATATGTGTGCAATGCTGTGTATTAGTATTAAAAATCCCAACTTATTATTTCCATAATAGTTCCAGGTCCCCATTGTGGGGGAATGAGATGCCCTATCCAATGCCCCGTTTCAAGAACATCATACAAAATGACTAAATCAGGAGTTTGCATAAAATGGATGCATTAGGCTAAAAGGCACACAGATCACATCTCAGCTGTAAACCATAACACAATGTGCCCAACCAACCTTTTAAAGGTAAAAACTGTAGTAGAAGACTGCTTACTAAGGTGCCATGGTGACACAGTGGTCAGTGACTTTCTCTGCATGACAGTGTCTGTGGGTCTGATTCCCAGCAGTAACAGGATTATTTCCCCCTGGCCACTATGGCTCTTAATGGGAAACTGCTTGGAAAGGAAGTGATGAGGATGGGCATTCTGCCCTGTATGATGTGGCGTAGAATGTGTTAACCCCCCCCCCCCCCCCCCCCCCCCCCCCGCAGTATTACTATGGGACTATGTTTCCAATTATTATTCCTCATTACTATACATTCATCAAAATATTCAGGACAAAGGACAGAAACAAATTATAATAAAAAAGACGTAGGACATATCATCATTGAAAAAATGCACATAAAAAATTAACATGAGACGCATCATACCCAAAATTAGCACCATTTTCTTTCCATCGAAGTGACAAGGAAACATGATTTCTCAAAACTACGAGAAGTTTTGAAAACAGATATAAAGTATATAATGCTATTTTATTTTATTCATAAAAACCATTATAACCTATGGAAATTTATGAATATTAAATAGGATAAATTCATGAAAACTAAAGAAATAAGAGAAATGTCAGGACAACCTACAGTAAAAACAGTTATGAGAGAAAACAGTCTAAGGAGAATGGCACTGTGAGGAGTTACAAGGTGATCAGGCCGGCCGCTTGACACTCAGGGAAAAGGCAAGATGGATATACAATCAGACAGTTACTGGTACCATTGGAATGTTAACTCTTCGCTTGCTGCTGAAGACGGGTGTCTTATGGGGGTGTCCCGAGTGCTGTGATTTTGATTCTTCATTCAATATTCAACATTCTTTAGTTATAAGACAAAGAAGACGCCGATATATATTTGCACATCCTGAGCAGAAGCAAATAGAAAAATCATAAACAGGCATTTAAACTGAAAAGAAATGAACTGAGGAAACCAGGAGATATCAAAGAAACCCTAAATCACACAATTGTTAATGTTTCTACCTAGTCATCCCCTTGTGGGATACAATTTTTCATTTTTTGAGCGCCACCCTGGCTTTTGCAGGGAAGCCCTAAATATTAGCTGGGCCACAATTGTGGCCATAACGGCTGAAAGGGGTTTCTGGGACCTCTCCACGGGGTGATCCTCATCCGCGTGGTGGCACTTCATGTCAACGAGTGTTTATCGCTTTGTGATGTCCTGGTGGGTAACAACTATCAACCAACCAAACTAACCTTGATAGATTCCAGCCATGGTACTGAAACAATTGTATAGGATAGACTGTAATGGAAGAATAAGCACTGAGCCCTTTATGACGTATAACTGTACAGCAGAATGATAAATCAAGAGAAAATCAACTCTGCAGACACACAGTCAGCGTAAAAAAGCTTCAATTTTTTAAAGATCCCTGATCGAAAAAATATGAGTACCACAGTCACATATTCTCAAGGCTGTCAGCATTTTCCACTGATGTCCTCAACTTGCATGTAAGTTAATGTTACCGTCAGAAACCTGTCAGTCTCAATTGTTGACTTGCGAAACATGAACAACTAAAGATGTGATGGTTTGATGCCGTCCTGGAAGGCAAGCAGCACACTCATGGAATCTCCACAAAAAGATTCCAACACTTGAGTGCTAATTATCTACCACAATCCTGGAGAATTTCTGGACTCTCTTGCAGTTTCACAGTTTGCAGGAGAAAGTGAAGACACATACAGATACACACAAATGTTTCCAACAAAGTTTTTATAAATGAAAAAATAAGAACCATTCACCACTCAGATGAATGAAAATAATCACACACAGGTAATCCAGATGGTAAATGAAACATATGAAAATAGGATGGCAATGAGAAAAACAATTACTTAAAAAAAAAAAGTTTGTTTCTGCGTATATACAACACACCTGCCATCCTTTGTCAGCAGTTCGATAATATGGGTAGTTTTTTGTGATATATGCGTAGATGCCACTGAGGGTCAGTTGTCTGTCTGGGGCTGAAGTCACAGCCTGAACAATCAGCTGAGCATATGAGTACGGAGGCTTGGACTCATCCTTGGCAGAGTCCCCGGATGAAATCACCAGCGAAGAAGCTGCACTGCTGTCATCATCTCGTGGCTGTGCAGCCGCGTATGCTGCCACAGCAAGGTCAGGGATGAGGGTAAACCTAGGGTTATGCAGCGAACCACTACGAGGACTCGTAGGGCAGGAGTTAGCAGCACTTGAAAAAAGACACAAAAATAAAGCTAAAAATTAATTTTTCAAATGATAAATGTTGTGTAACCTGTAAAAACAGAAAAATTTTTCCAATGAAATGATGCATCATGGTCAATCGCATCCTAGCAGGAATTGGCAATACAGCAAGCTAATGTCGATATTTTTTCTAAATATAAAAAAAAATGTATCACTTCTTTTTTTTCAAATAAAACTTTTAGCACAAGCTGCAACAACAAAAATTATTTATGTAGTATATGATGCACCATCTTCATTGCTTTTAGGATTGCATTTGAAGTAAGAAAAAAATAAAGAGTACTTTATTTTTAATTCACCCTAAAGGAAAATCCCGGTATCCCAGGAAAGTCCAATATTCTAGGGGTGTTATGGGTTAGGGTTAGGATCTTTGTCAGCCCTGACCACCTCAGACACACCGACTAATCCTAACCCTACCCATAACACCCCTAGAATACTGGACTTTCCAAGGAACTAAAGAATTTCCTTTGTTTGGGGTGAACTAAAAGAAAAGCACCAAGTAAAGGTCCCTTTCCATACCACATGAACATGGGACACATGATGTTAGATTCATACTTGTACAGACAGATCAGCACTTGATGGATAATGTGGTCAACATCCAGCTGGCAGTAATGACTTCCCATAAACATTTGGTAGCACCAATTTTGGGCTAGCAGTCCTAGTGTACCAGAATCGGAGGAGAACCCATTCTGGGGTCCCCATAAAGAGATTACATACAATTTTAGAATCTTTGATTAGTCTTGGAAATCCCAGGGTCAATGAACTGTAACAGGAGAAAACTAGTTCATGGTTAGTTAGAAAATTAGAAAATACAAAGAAAACTTCACAAGCTTTATTTTGCCAAGATACATTTAAAGCGGTCTTTGCATTTTAAAGGAGGACAAATATTCCTGCAAGCATGTCATAAAAGGCAACTTGCTAGGGATCTGCTGAAATCAGATGTGTTGGGCAAAATAGCAGATATCCTAACTTAGCTGTAAACTACAAAGTGCCTATAAAGGGCAAACGCAGATGAAGAAGAAAAAAAAATTAGAACACATTATAAAGTATGAGCACTGAATTAGGGAGGACTAGTATACGACAGAATTCAACAAACTCAAAAATGCAAGCAGATGACTATGCAGAATTTTTTTGTACCAGCTTGAACGATGAAGGGCAAGCAAAACACACACATTTGTGTGTGTGTGTGTGTGTGTGTGCGGGCATGTGCGTACACACACATAAAACATATGGCATAGCCCCTGCAAATGAGTTAAAGCTAAGATTTTGAGATCATGTATCTTTCCCATAGCAACTTACGGCTGTCAGTCAATTTATGGAAACCGAATTGAACAAATCAGCGCTTTTGAATTTTAATGTTAACAGAACAATACTTAGAACACAATAGACCAAGAAGAAGAAAAATATTGACATCCTGTCCCTCATAAACAGCATTCTGTCCCGGAAGCTGAGGTATTTTAGCCACGTAAAAGTCTGGATACAATATCAATGTTGGGTACCGTTCCCTGAGATAGACAAAAGAAGCAGAGCTCTACAAAGGCGGATACAAGACAGTGAAGATGCATTGGCTACAAAAGTATACAGGACTAAAGAATTGGCTAGGAGACAGAAACCTGTTAGTTTTGGGAAATAAAACAGTTTAGAAATAGTAAACAAAAGTGGTACTTCAATAGTTATAAGGCAGTCCAGTTAAGAAGCAGCTGAATAAGTTAGCTGAGTTACAAAGAGTGAACTAGGGTTAATAAGAGTAAAGTAAAGGTCCCTTTTTCACTGCACCCGGTACCCACCCACTCAAGGCTGGGTCGACCTGAACTAGAGTTATCTAAAGATCATCTGACATAAATGTTTATGCAGCTGTGCTTAAAGAACTCTGTGAATTAAAGACATTCACTCAAAGTGTTAGTGCTACATCTTCAGTGCTTGAACTTCTGTCACTATAATTTTTTTCATATTCAACTACAAGCAGCCACACACGTATCATTAGCCTACTCATATACTTGCCTGATTGGCAGGACAAACCCCGGGGTTCCATAGGCAACAGTGCCACATTAAATCAATGTTAAAAAATCTGCCCAATGCGGATCTGAACTCGGGCTAGCAAGCATGCAAGCCTCTAGCCACTGCGCTAGAGTGACTCCCAAATGATCAATACAGAAACTGGTTTCCATGTCAGAAAACTAGTGCTCCTGTACACAACTATTTCGACAAATTCTAAACTCCGCACTTACAATACCTTTCCTCTCAATTTTTAGAATGTGATTACAAACAACACTGGAGACTAAAAGGACAATTATTGTTGTTATTCTGCCTTCCATCTCCCAATGAAGGCTTCAGCCAAGTGATGTAATTCTGTTTGTGGAAAGAACCAGTTGTATTTTACTCAAACCAAAACAATAAAAATACATAGGTTCTAGTAGTAGTATTACATTTTACCCCACCAGGACATCACACAGAGTGATAAACACCCAGTGACACAAAGTGCCACCATGCGGATGAGGATCACCCGTGGAGAGGTCCCGGAAACCCTGTTCAGCCATTAGGCCCTGTTTTAGGCCTGGCTATAATTAGCGCCCCCAGACAAAAGGCGAGGTTGAGCTTCAAATAAGGAAAATGTGCATCCCAAAAGGGGATGACGAGATCCAACAGAAGTTCTAAGGGACTGGGAATGAAAAGAGAGTTGCTAAAAGAAGAAAAATATGGGAAATATTTCAACAATTTTAAAAGCCATTAATTTCTTCAGGGAAAAAAACCAGTCTATAGGAAATAAAGACAGGTGAGCAAGAGGCAAACAGTGATACAAGTGGAAGGAGAATAACATCCAAAGATGAATAAACAGCTGTCTGGTACAACCAGGCTGAGAGAAAGAGAGCACCTCAGGTCCATTTCAGCCAACCTTCACGGCTAAGAAGGCACCTCAGTGACATATTTTAGAAATATAACTAAGATTTTGTACTTGAATTAACGTTTATGAAAACTGAAATATTTACCTAATAGTGCCTGTGGGGGAAGGACACGGACTGGCGCCGATTTCTGTGGGCTCTGGTATAGCAATCCTCAGGGAGTGAAGGGACTTTTTCTTGGGAGTGGTTACAGCAATTGGAGGCGGAGGCGCGGCTGCTTCATCAATCAGTGACTGGAACTGAATTTTGATGTTTGTGCTTGGGAATCGTAAAATACACCTGCAAAACAGTTTATTTTTTCTCTTCTGATTTAACTGTTCCTGTCATGGATTAATATCTTGCTGGTCATGTCTTAACTATGATAAATAACCTGGTAAGGGTTCCTTTAAAAAACTAATAAACTTTAAATAATTGATTTATATATATATATATATATATATTATTTTTTGCTCTACTCCGAATAACGGTTCCAAATTATCTACTCAGAAAGTAAACCCTAACAGAGCCTCACTGATATCTAAAAAGTGCTTTTTTTTTTTTTTCAGCGAATCAACCCCGCCAAAGGTAGGATTAATTGCGCACAACATTTTTGCAAAACGCAACGAATTGTTTTACGACGATTAAAAGGCGGCAAAACTAGGATTAACTACGGACGAAAAATTAGCGACACGCAAGAATACTCCCGATAGCGCTATTCTACGACACGGCCTCAGTTATATGTAAGTTGCGGACCACTTTTTGCCGACTATAGTGCCACCTCTGAGAGTATCTCCCGCGCCGCGGGGCTAAACTAGATGGCTGGGACTCACGAGCAGCAACTACCGCTTCTCCTGCAGCTTCCTCCATTGTATTTGCTCGTGAGTCCTAGCCATCCAGTTTAGCCCCTTTCGCGCCGCGCGTAGCGGCGCGGGGTATACACTGGGAGGTGGCACTATAGTCGCCGGAAAAAAGTCATAAGCTACTTCTTCCGTCATAGTGAAGCGCCATAGTGGCGGATGCTGGTTTGAAGTTGTCCCGAGGCGACATGCGCGTACATTAAAACATGCCTTACTGATTATGTCTCACCTTGAACGAGAATCGCGGACAAGCCGCGTCCTGTTCGCATCTTATTCGGCTGAGTTGGAATGGCGGACAGCCAGAAAGAACAGATATTCGCGCACTATTTGCAACTTCTGTGCCACAATTTTCACATAAAAAGGATTTAACTGTCGGTAAGTAGTAGACTTCGCACTTTTCCTCATACTTTTCGTTCCTTATTTTTCCGAGCTAGAACTTTTAAATGTTTGTAAGGCTGGACGTAATGAGGCTCTGTTAGGGTTTATTTTCTGCGTAGATAATTTGGGACCGTTATTCGGACTAGAGCCTTATTTTTTTTTTAAAGAATCAAATGAAGTAATCAGTAAACAAAAACAGAGTGAAGAATTAAAAATCCCTCGGGCCTAAAAATTGAATTCACACAATGACTGATACTAGGAATCCGTGATTCTAATTACTAAAGGCTAGGAGATAATTATAACGTCATCTTTTTAAAAATAAAAACCACCCCCTCCCCCCAAAAAAAATTTTTTTTTTGACAATAGCATCAATGCTTTTTTGTGTGCAAATATAACAATATCTGGACCCACTAAATACTGCGCAGGCGCAAACAGAACCAATTCTTAATGCTATAATTAAGCTTTTCCTGTACTGAAAAAAATGCAGCAATGCTGGTTATGCAGCTTTGCTGGGATTTGAAATGAATAGAAATGCTGGGTTTGTGGCGTCTCGTGGGGGGGGGGGGGGGGGGGGGGTGGAGAATATGTTCAAGCAGTGATTTTCAACCAGTGGTCCGTGGGCTGCCATTCCTTGGTGGTCTTACAAAAATTTCTGCCAAATCTCTAGCAGCTGGCTAGTGAGTGAGATGTTGTACACACCAACTTGGGTGTCCTAATTTTTTTATTTCTGCTGCCAACAAGAAAGTGATATCCATCATAAGTCAGCATTCAAAGTCATTACAGTGATACTCTGATTTACAAACTTAATTCGTTTATGTCTGGGGTTCGTATTTTAAAACGTTTGCACCTCTTAACTCAATTTCCCATTAAATCTTAAGGAAAAACAATTCACTCTCAAATTAAAGTTTTTAAATAATAATAATTAAAAAAAATACTCTTAACTATTTTTTTTAAAAATGCAAATACATTGGTCCAAAGTGAGAAGAAGCATTTTGAAGCAATAAATATGCATCTTGATTTTCAATACAAATTTGGATTTATCAAATCCTTGGTTTTACATGATACGTACGTGTGTGGTATGAAAATCACTTTCTATTAAATTGTTTAAAACAAAATTTACAAACAAACATTTTAAAATAAATTAATGTCATTAGTGACTTCCTTCTGTTCCTTTGGCCAGGAAGGTTTAAATAAAAACTTAACGATGTTTCCTTAAGACTCATAAAAAATGACTAGACACCGTCAATGAAGACAAAAGCATGATTTGGACAACACTTTTTTACCCATTTTTTAATTCACCTAGGTGCTGCACAAATTTTTTTTTTTAAATGTCACTTATTAGGGTTGCTTGTTTTCTGTTGCTGTATTCATTCTGTAAAGTGTAAAGAAATTTGTTCTTCCTCCCCACCCCTAACTGTTTTCTGTTCAGTTCTGAGCTCTTGTAGCCCTTCAGTGGTCAGATGAACCTACTTTTATTATAAACTCTTCAGTGGTCAGCTGAACCTTCTTTTATTCTCAACTCTTAAAGCTCTTCAGTGGTCAGCTGAACCTTATTTTATTATCAACTCTTACAGCACTTCAGTGGTCAGCTGAACCTTCTTTTATTCTTAACTTCTGTAGCTCTTCAGTGGTCTGCTCAATGTTATTTTATGCTCCTCAATATCTGCTTCATCAACTTGCATGGTCTTGCCCAGGGAGACAACTGTATCGCTGTGTCGTATTCGAAAACATTTGTAGGTAGAGCGATTCATAAGTTAAGGTACCAACGTACTGAAAACTTTGATCATTATTTCCCTGAAAATGAGGATCCTCATAAAGGTAACCTTTTAATTAATAACCCCTTCTGGTAAAATATAAGGTCCCACCAAACAAACAAACGAATTTACACACACAAAAATCATACATCCTGGATTTATACAGCTAATGGTTTTTTTTCTCATCCTATTATTTGTGTGAAAAGACTATCCCAGGGCCTGAAAGCACCGACTTCAAAAGCTAAAATGATGCCATCCTATTAAAATCATCAGTAGAATCAACGTTTAGCAACTTTGTGACAGACAAATTCACAAATAATAAATCAACTTGAAAAAAATAAAAAATAAAATAATGTCTGTGGCTTAGGCTTTGTGAACAAGCTTCGTAATGCCATTATTCCGGTTCGTTTCCAGCTGCAGACAATTTGTCTAGCATTGGTTTCCAAAAATGGTACACAGAGTGTACCATTCAGAAGGAATGGCAAACTAGAGAATGTGATATTTGCCTAGAAAAACTACAACAGCAAAATACAAATGCTGAGATTGGCTCTGCAACGTCTTGTAAAGGATATGCAACTAACCAACTAATGTCAAATTTAAGAATTATAAAAACAATAACTATTTTACAACTACAAGAAAGGCATAAATTAACAGAAGATAAATTAGCATTTCAAATGTAAAGTTAAAGATCTTTACTAAAACAGGCATCAGGTGTGAACAAGTTAGTTGTGTATCCTTTACATGATGTTGCAGCTCCACCCCCAGCATGTTTTTTTTTTTTTTTTAATAGCAAGTATACATCCAGTAGTTTGTCATTTCTTTCTGGACAGTCGTTTCTCGATACCACTGTCGAAACCAGCGCAAGGCCCACAGCTGGAATGGAGCCAGGTATTATGAAGCGCGTCTTCAACGCTTAAGCCACAAACGCATGAACAAGATATTTCAGATAATATAAATATAAATAAAATGAAAAGATTATATGATTTTTTAAATTGCAAAAGTATACACTGCGATAACACAATGGGAATATAATGGATGCTTCAATATGTCTGAACTGTAGCTATGAGAGGTTGAACCAGATATTATTTTTCTGAAAAGTACTATCATTACTAACTGCTACTTTTTTGACCATTATCTATCTACTACCGACACTTACGACTACTACTTCAACTACTATCTATCTATCTATCTACTACCAATACTAACTACTACTACTACTACTACTTCGACCACTATCTATCTATCTACTGCCAGTACTAACTACTACTACTTCGACCACTATCTATTTACCACCAACACTAACTACTACTACTTCGACCACTATCTATCTACCACCAACACTAACTACTACTACTTCGACCACTATCTATCTATCTACCACCAACACTAACTACTACTTCTTCGACCACTATCTATTTATCTACTACCAATACTAACTACTACTACTTCCACCACTATCTATCTATCTACTACCAATACGAACTACTTCGACCACTATCTATCTATCTACTACCAACACTAACTACTATCCATTACCACCACTCATTATTACTACTACTACTACAGTTGCTACTAACTAGTACTAGTACCATAACTCTACAGTTGAGTAAGTATAGAAACTGTTTACACTAAACAATATATGTAAACATAAATATTTGTGGATTTGTGTGTTCCCTGAGCCACAAACACAACGCTGGTAACCTCTGCCTGGAGGTCATGTTTTGTTTTTTATCTACATATGCCATTTTTTGGTTGTTGTTGCTCTATCTGTGATGTACACAACTAAATTTATCATTTCAATCTTTTGCAACTTCTGTCCTTCATGGACAACTATTTTTTGCTTAGAATCGATTGATTCAAAAATATGTAGCCTTGTAATTTCCAGTTGGCAGCTTTATTTATGCTAATTCTCTTCCAATTTGTGTTGTTCATAATTTGAACCTAAATTTCAAATAAACAAACATGCTTGACACACAATCAATACACTTACGAGCGAGGAAGTTGCAACGGCGGAGCCCCTTTCCTCTGAAAAATCCCATCAATAAACACCCCATTTTTCCCATTACACTTCATAAAAAAATTGGGATGCTCGGCAAAGATCTCCAGATGCACCCTGGAAATAAAACTGGAGTGGCCCATGTTGACATCGACGTCCCCCTTGCTGCTATTCCTCCCAATAGAAATGCGTGGCTTCCTCATGGTGTACTCAAACTCCCTGCCTTCTAACCTTGCAATGGCTTCTCCGACTAAGTCTTGGCCCCATGACATTCTTGCCGGACTCGCCGGAGCAGAATTAAGGGCCAGCAGTGCTAAGGCATGGTTATTTGTGGGTTGTTGTAGGCCAGACATAGCAAGAAGTGATACCGCTAAAATGGCAGCTCACAGAAGAAAACATAACCTGTACTGTTTACATCCAGCAAGGGCTCCCACAATGCCGTGCGCCGGCCAATAGTACAACGTGCTGGGGATCTGATCGTCAGATGTCGACTGGCCTGACCTGTACACACTTAACGGGATCTAGGGTAAACTATCTTGGTTCCGACTCTTACATTGATATACAGATTTGTGCAGGCGGGACATGAATACTACATGTACTGAGGTAGATTCGTTGGAACAAAATGTCATAGACCGTGTTGTGTGGAGGGCGGAAATCAAGAACAGAATGAGAATACAGGAAAATATGACTGCAGAAAGGTTGAGAGCTAAGCGTATGAGAAGAAGCAAATTAAATGCATATTATAGGAACAACGGTCCTGAAATATCATGTTCTAATTGTGTAAGACTTTTCTTAACGCGGGCAGGTTTTGCTAGTCACATTCACCATCGCCAGTGACTGCTATTTTTCAGGCTTCTCCATTACACCATGCAACGCTATCGTCTAGACTGACGTGCCTACATGTCCCTAATTCTCAAACTGCGAATTATTATCTCACTGTACGTTCTTTAACTTTTTTTTTCTGTACCAATGAACTCGCTATACGTTCACTGTTATGCCTAATAAGCTAGTGTGTATTTTATTCAACTGCAGACAGTTATAACATCCACTTATTTTATCTCAATTGCTAGCATTCTTCTGGTCGATTATTTTAACTCATGCTGCACCAACTTCAAGCAAGGACTCCCACAATGCCGCTCGGCAGCTAATAATACAAACTGATAAAATCGGATCTTCTGGCGTCTACTTGCCTGACCTGGACACACTAACGGGCCATCAGTAACCTCTAGATTTTAACTCTCACATTGCGAATACTTATCACAATGTACGTTCCATGACTGTATGTTTGTGTACATAGAAACTCCCTATGCGTTTCATAAGTAGTCTTTTAATTAACAATCTCCTGTTCAACGCACCTGGGTTGTACTTGTAATCTATCGAAATTATGTGCGTTAAAAAAAAGAAGACTAAAGAAAAGCTTATAACAAGATTGCAGAAGGTATGGAGGAGAAAATATAGAAAACAGTTTCTTTTATTAGTGTAAATGTAGGCTCATTTATATATATGATTACGAAATTGTCACAAACTTGAATCTAGATTCTATAATAAATAGCAATGAAGACTGTCGTGACATAAATGAAAAGGTGGATGGCCATAGCAATGCAGATATTAAACAGCATAAAAGATTATGCTTAAGCACCAGCTAGGAAATCATAATTAAAATTCTGATAGCATGCATCCTCCCTGGGGCAACATGCTGATGTGAGTCGGGAATATCTCCTAGTCCTTAACTCTTTGAGGCCCAAGCAACCATGTGAGCGTCGATTGAGAAGTTCCGTTTTGCCAAAACAACGCTGTCATCGTCGATCGTAGATCACGTACATTTTGCTTCGCACATAGCTCCGTACTTGTTTCTAATGTTCGGAAGTACGATTAAACTATTCAGGAACATCACTTCATAATTTCAGTGAATAGGCCTATGTGCTTTCCGATGGTCTTTGGCGACCCTTGTGAAAGGGTTCTTCGACCCACAAAGGGGTCACGACTCACATGTTAAGAACCGCTGGCTTCGTGAAGAAACTTTTACATCAAGGTTGTTTTTGACGAGTGTGAATAAGATTCAACCTCACCAGGGCATCCACCAAGCGACCAACACCCGATGACACAAAGTGCCACCATGCGGATAATGATCACCCAGGGAGAGGTCCCAGAAACCGCGTTCAACCCATAGGTTGTGTTATATTAGGGCCTCCGGCAGCAGCCAGGGTGTGGGTTTCAAACAACACAAAATTGCGTCCGACCCTAGAAAGTTTACGTCCAGTAGTTCACCATTGCTCCTGGGTGGTCGGCTTCTCGATATCACCGTCGAAACCAACGCAAGACGCAAGGCACCCAACTGGGATCGAACCCGGCATTACACAGCGCGTTCGTAACGCCTAAGCCGCAGACGCCGACTGGACCCTGGGACGCAATGATATTTTTATGTTTTTGACATCCTCCTGGATCCTGGCCATTTTACATTACTGAACACATTGCCAGTTGATTGTATGTTGTAAAGTAATGGTCAAAAGATACTTATTATGCCACTGGATCACTGACACATTGTCATTATTATGATGTGCACTGCCGATAAGCGTAGGTTGTCATATTTCGTTAGCTCACACGATCGTCAGAATAACGGATCAGGTCAGTGTTATGGTATTGCCCCATTCAGGGACAAGCCATTCGGACAGCCATTAGGAGGAGGGGGAAGAAGAAGGAGAATTAGGTGAGGAGGAGGAGGAGGAGGAGGAGAAGAACAACAACAACAACACAAATTTTAACAACAGCTATTTTTCTGAAACGTTTAACAGGGTTGCTGTGAAAGTAAAAAGCCGTTACGTTATTTAACTAATGCTGACTGGACTGGATTGGATTGGATGTTTGGAAACAAAGTTACTAAAACTCCTTGACTCTTTCAATCTGCTCCTTAGTTGAGCGGCGACTATATCAAGTCCGTATTGATTTGCTGGCTCTTGGTCGTACTTTTTCATTGTGGCGTTTGGTTGCGCCTTGTGTTCCAATTTTCCTTTGTGGGTCTTTCCTTTCACGGCAGTCATCTTTATACTCGTCTATTTACGAGTCAAAAAATATAATCTGTTACTTAGCAATTTTTCTGCCTTGCGTCTCGCAAGACTGCACTTTTGAGTTTAAAATGACACTGAAGATATTTGTTTATTTACTACTAATGTGGAAATGAGGGCGGAAATTAAAGGAAACAGGCGATCTGTGAGCGCTGAAAAAGACCATACACACGGAGCACACCGAAAACAGCAGATTGGCGGTACTTGGAATGTTAGCGGACTAGGAAATAAAGCATCAGAACTAAATGAATTCATACAGAAATCAAACATCCAGAATGAGATGAAACGAGGTGATAAAACACAAAGGAACAAAATACAAAATGAATGCATGAGAATTATGCTCTGAAATGCACCGGTGTCAGTCAACAAGCAAATGCCAAACATGGTGTGGGTTTTATAGTACATCCTGAAAAGGCTGAAAGCACCCTAAACAGTGAATGCATTTCAGATAGAATAATTTTAATACATAATAGAATGACATATACTGTGTGGTTAGAAGAATGCTTAAAATACCTTGGACAGCCACACACACACACACACAAAAAAAGCAACCAAGACGTTTTGAAAGATGCAGGAGCCCGGAGACAACTTATCACAGACATCAGAAGGAGACGGTCATCATTTTTCGGCCATGTTGTGAGAAGAAGGGAAATGGAACATGATGTGACCACTGAAAAGATCTGTGGAAGGCGGATTGATGAAGACAACGAGATAAGATCATTGGTGGTGTGATACATTTTGCAGGATATCGCATATCATCATCATCATGTAGCAGGTCCTTTGCAGAACTTCGCTCTCATCACAGTCTGCCTGAAAGAAACTCGGTCTCTCGCCAATTCTCCTGCCTCATATACTTTTATACCCAAGGAGTCACTTATATCCTGTGCCCATCTTCGTGTCGGTCGGCCCCTGCCCCTCCTTCCTGATACCATGCCTTCTGCTATAGTTTTTTCCAATCCGTTGTGGCGCTTGATATGACCAAAATATTTCAGCTTTCGAGAAAGGATGCTTTTAAAATGTCAATATTTCTCCTCTTCTTTGTCCAAGATATTCTGAGAATCTTTCTATAGCATTTCAGCTCAAAAGCCCCTATTCTCTTTCTTAAGGACTGAGAGATAGTCCACGACTCACATCCGCATATAGTGCAGAGAAATGATCGCCCAAGCCAGTCGTCAAGGCACCTGATGATGATGATACTTACGATGAGTTATTAGTTAAGAAAGTATTACAAAGAAGAAGAAGAAGAAGAAGAAGAAGAAGAAGAAGAAGAAGAAGAATGTATAAAATACCAAACAAACCCAGACAAGGACATGAACATAATACGTGTGTTTGTGTATGTGTGTGTAATAGAAAACACTACGTAAGCTTTACCTATTGTTCATGTTACAGTCTATATGACATCATCTATGACATTTACACACATACGTTAGCAGGTGTGAGCCATAAATAGGAAAGAGAGAGAGATAAAATAACATACAGTGTTACATATATAAAATGACGAGTATGACCGGCTCCAGCTGACGGGCCGTGCTGCTGACGTCACCGCGTCAGGCTAACGATGCGGTAACGCAGCGGTTCTCAAACAAGACATAAACTATTTTCGACAGTGGCAAGGAAAGACAACTTAAATTGTATCTTTAAGTATCTACATGCCTTCTTCATTATTTCCCATTTTTAGCCGACTTTTCTTTATTACGCGGCAGCCCTGGCATACGCTCAGGACACCCTAGGCTGCCTCAGCACCCAGTTTGAGAAATGCTGCGTTAACGCATCGTTAGCCCGACCCGGTGACGTCAGCAGCACGGCCCGTCAGCTGGAGCCGGTCGTGGACAAATTGTCCGCAGTTGGGATCAAACCCGGCATTACGAAGCGTGTTCGCGTGAAAAGGGTTCATTAATCTTTACAACTGTGGAACCTGTGTGTTACATATATGCTCTCTACATGCAATAGAGCGATCTCAGGTTTGCCCGGTTGGCATTCCAATATAAACCAATTACGTGGAATGGTGGAAGAGATGTGTCGCACCACAAACTTCATAGATGTATGTGGTCTTCTTATCCAAAAACAACTGGCAGGGGGAACGGAAAGAAGAAGATTAAGATAAATGAGTTAACAAATTAAAACTATGTTCAGAGAGCTCAGTTTACCAACTGTACCCAAATAGGCTAGCATGATCGTTACGGGTGCCCCAGTTCTAATCTCCTTACATGTTGAACGGAATGTCTGAGCTTTGCCACGTTGTTTTGTCACCCATGAAGAGAAGCTAAATTTCTCAGGGATTATCAAATTCT